CAGTCGAGATATATATATATATATATATATATATATATATTGTTGGGACCAATTTTGAGGGATACTCATATAAGGGTTAAAAAGAGATTTTTATTTTATGTTATGGGCAAATTTAAAGAATTTTAGTTAGTTAATATTAGCATAGGAAGTTTCTAGCATTTCATGGTCCTATTTTGATGGCAAATGTTAGCTAAGTTATAAAGAGGAGATGGGTAGGGGGATTTTGATCACGTGAGGGTTGGAGATTTTCTTGAAAAGAGGATCTAGGGGAGAGAAGATACGGAAAGTGGGAAAAGTGGTCAACGTGAGGGGAAAGAGATTTTTGCATTCTTGGGATAGATTTATGAGTTATGGGTTACTGATATCAAGAGAGAGAGAGAGTAATTGGGTTTTTTAGTTTTTTTTTTGTCTTATATTAAAAAGGAAAACTCAGTAGAGACTTAGGCTTGGAAATTTTTGTTGAGACTTTTATAAATGAATAAAAGAGTGTATTCTTCCCATGGTTTAAATTACGGCCACTTTTTGCTCTCCATCATTGTTGTTTTGCTTGTTTAAGATCGAAATGTTGGATTTAATTTCTTGGGCTCTTTTTGCATCAGCTTAGTAATCCTTTATATTCATATTCACCAACGTGGTACAAGTTTTTGGCCTAGAGCAATTTGGCTGGTGAGCTTGTCAACCTTAATGGAAGGCACATTTGATGCAGAGGACCATAACCATTTCAATATCACTTTTTTTTTTTTGTTTGTTTGTTCTTTTTTTGGTAACTTTCTTCTCAGTGGTACATTTCACCATACAACTTATTGTCCACCCTTGATCGAAAAGGTGTTTCTATCATTACTGGAAGCAAATGGTCGACACTGCATCTTAAAATCACGTGAGATAGAAAGTAATGGTGTCTTTTGTTGAAGCCAAAATTCTGAGCTGATGGGGTACAGCAATTTTGTTCTCCCTTCTTTTTTCTTTTTTCTTTTTTTCTCCCTTTCCTTATCCATACGTGGTTGGCAATATCAATTGATAAATCAATGAAAGGCTGCTACGTGTTTTTTGCAATCATGTCCATTTGCTCAACCTCGGCTATTAGTATTGGAGGCACGACCCGGTTGAATGTTAGCACGTTATCTTTTCATTAGAAAAAGTATACAGTACGATCATTTACCTTTGATACAAAGTGGTCATAATTAATTTTGACCATTGGATGTGAAAATGGGTGGTTGTATTTATTGCATTGATCATGTTTAAAGTTCAAAAGAAATTTTGTGGCACACTGAAGCTATCAGATTTCACATCATATTGTTATAAGTAATCGTGACCTCATTGTACCAATGGTACATAATATCTCATTATATGCAATCCTGTTTCATGGATTTAATTTCGCCATATACAAATGCTATAAGAGAAACAAGAATCCAGTGATAGTCACATAATTAAGCAGCTCTCCATTGGCTAGTTCGTTTTCATCTTTGTTGGCCTCTTTGTGGCAAATCTGTATTCAGATGCCACTCTTCTCTGTGATGTCTGAAATTCCCTTATTTTAGGCAGTAATTTCTTGCGATCTTCTCTGTGATGTCCGAAATTCCCTTATTCTAGGCACTAATCTCTTGCGATTTTTTGCTAACACCACTTTACAGTATTTGGTAACACCACTCCTTTTTACTTCTCCCAATTCTGCAATAGTTTTAGGCCCCGTGTGGAGCTGTGACTTCTGCCTCATTGCCTGAACTTATGCCACATCTTCCCTAAAGAGATGAGAACTAAATTGTTTCTGTGATCCTTAGCGTTTCCTCCAAATTCTCCCTCTTTTTGGGATGTCCAATTGAGCATAATCAAAATTCAATTTTGAAATATCCTTGTATGGAGAAATTTTCAACCCTTTTTTATCTCACCTTGTTGGGTCATGTCACCTCGTTGATACTGATGACATTGATTAAATGATAAGAGAGAGAGAGAGAGAGAGAGAGAGAGAGAGAGAGTACGTGTCGTGAGAGGAGGTAGTTTAAGTTTAAGAACGTACGTTATTAGTATAATTACTTAGTTAGTAGAGAGAGAGAGAGAGAGAGAGAGAGAGGAGGAGGTAG